TCCAACCTTGTTCCCTTGCTGGTGAGGAGTTGTGATCCCTTTTAGGAGGAGAGGTGTTCTCGTTTCGGGTGTTTTCATCCTTTTTGCGCTGGTTTGTTCCCATCTTTAAGGATTTATCCACTTGTCCACTTTGTAGTTGCTGGCTTTCAGATTGGGTCTCAAACCTTTCAGATTGACTTTCTGTTTGTTGATGATGAGGTTATTTCTGTTTCTTGGTTTTCCTTCTGACAGCCTGGCCCCTCTGCTGTAGGTCTGCTGATTTTCACTCCAGGCGCTGCTTGCCTGGGGTTCACCTGCAGCAACTGCTGAACAGTAAGGGTTGTTACCAGTTTTCTTCTTCTGCTATATTTGTCTCAGATGGATACCCGCCTAGTGTCCATCTGATCTCTCCTTTATGAGGTGTCTCTTTGGATATATAGGGGTCAGGGAGCTGCTTGAGCAGACGGTCTCTTCTTTATAGGAGCTCAAATGGTGAGCTGTGAGCTCTGTTATTGTTCATTCAGAGCTGCTGGGCAGGTACGTTTAGGTCTGCTGCAGCAGAACTCATAAACTGCTTTTTGTTCCCAGGTGCTCTGTCCCAGGGATTTAGGGCTTTATTTATGAGTTCCATTATGCTGCTGCCTTCCTTTTTTTTTTTTCCTTCAGACCTTCCCTGCCCAGCAAGGAGGCAGCCTAGTCACTGTCTGCCTGTAGAGGTTTGCTGAGCTGATGTGGGCTCCCCCCAGCTGCAGAGTGAACTTCCCTGCAGTCCTGTTTATATGGGTGTAGCTTTGGCAATGGTGGCCTGTCTCTGTTGAGGTGGAGTTTCTCTGCTGTGGGAGGTTGCCTTGGCAATGGCGGGCTGCCTCAGCAATGGAGGGTTGCCTTGGCAACGGCGGGCTGCCTCAGTAATGGCCGACTACCTCCGTCATGGCGGGCTGCCTTGGTAATGGTGGACGCCCCTCCCCCACAGAGCTGGACCATCCCGGGTTCAGCTGCGCTTGCCGTGAAACTCTCAATCAATAGTTATTGGTTGCTGTTCTTTTGTGGGGGTGGGACCAGACAAGCCTGATCGCCTGGCTCCCTGCCTCAGAGGGTTTTCTAAGTTGGTTTTCCAGTCGCCTGTTGAAGAGGCGCTGGGGTCTGTTTGTTTTCCCCTGTGGCCACTCACTGCACTGGCTGAAACAGTGGCACTGAGGTTTGTGGTGCTTTTTTTTATTTTTATTTTTTGCCATGGAATCTACTGTCCTGGTTCCCTGCTCAGTCCCCTTTATAAACAAATGAATGGGCGACTTCCTGTGGCTCCAATCACCAGCCAAAAGGGCACCCGGACCGGTGTATTTTGTAAGGAGAACCGGAGAACCGCTGCTCTGGGGCACCAACAAAGCAGCCGCGCAGGGTAAAGCAGGGGTGCCGGCCAGCACAGCTGTGCTGGCCGAAACAGCTGTGCTGGTGTCCTGTGGAGCCCCTCTGGCTGGGAATTTCCTAGTCTGCTGGCAATAAAATGTGGCGTCCACTCACTTTCTGCACTTTCACTGGGAGCTGCAATCCTGAGCTGTTCCTAAATGGCCATTTTGGATCCTCCAAAAACGTAGATTTCAAACTGCTCTGGTTTGTGTTTGTTCACCTTAGGAAGTTGCGTCTATGTTTATATTCAGCGGGTTAGAAACACGTTTCTTCTAAAAGCTGCGTTTGGATATTCCAGAGTGAATGGGAGCCTAGGCTGTAATGAGAAATATCTGGCTCTGAAAGAAAAACGGAGGTATCTAGCAGAATGGTTGTCAAGGTGTACAATCAACTTACAGAGTTAAACTGATGTGTGTGGGCAGCAGTTCAGAAACCCTTTCTTTGGATAATCTAGAAACAGATATTTACAGCCATATACAGGCATGTAAGAATTAGCAGTAAGACCTCGTATAAAACACAGGAGAAACACATATTTCAACTGCTCTGCTTTGTGTTCGTTCACCTTAACAAGTTGAATCTATGTTTAGATTCAGCGAGTTAGAAACAGGTTTCTTTTAAAAGTTGCGTTTGGATATTCCATAGTCAATGGGAGTATAGGCTGTAATGAGAAATATCTGGCTCTAAAACAAAAACCGAGCTATCTAGCAGAATGGGTGTCAAGGTGCACAATCAAGTTACAGAGTTAAACTGATGTGTGTGTGTATCAGTTGAAAAAGCCTTTCTTTGTAGAATCTAGAAATAGATATTTCCATCCATAAAGAGGTATATAAGAATTAGCGTTAAGATTCCGTCTAAAGCACAGGTGAAATGTGTCTTTCAAACTGCTCTGCTGTGTGTCCGTTCACCTTAGGAAGTTGCATCTGTGTTTAGATTCAGCGAGTTAGAAACACGTTTCTTCTAAAAGCTGCGTTTGGATATTCCAGAGTGAATGGGAGTATAGGGTGTAATGAGAAATAACTGGCTTTAAAATGAAAACGGAACTATCTATCGGGATGATTGACAAGGTGTATATTAAACTTACAGAGTTAATCTGATGTGTAAATGTATCAGTTGAGAAAGCCTCCTTTTGGAGAATCTAGAAACAGATATTTCCATCCATAAAGATGTATGTAAGAGTTAGCATTAATATTCTGTATAAAACACAGGTGAAACGTATCTTTCAAAGTGCTCTGCTGTGTGTTCGTTCACCTTAGGAAGTTGCATCTATGTGTACGTTCAGCCAGTTAGAAACACGCTTCTTCTAAAATCTGCGTTTGAATATTCCTGAGTGAATGGGAGTACAGGGTGTAATGAGAAATATCTGGCTCTAAAACAAAAACGGAGCTATCTAGCAGAATGATTCTCAACGTGTATATTCAGCATAGAGAGTTAAACTGATTTTTGAATGTAGGAGTTCAGAAACCCTTGCCTTGGAGAATCCACAAACAGATATTTCAGTCATATATAAGAATTAGCAGTAAGATGGCGTCTAAAACACAGATGAAATGTATCTTTCAAACTGCTCCTCTATGTGTTCGTTCACCTTACGAAGTTGCATATATGTTTAGATTCAGCAAGTAAGAAAGACGTTTCTTCTAAAAGCTGCCTTTGGATATTCCAGAGCGATTGGAAATAAACACTACAATGAGAAGCATCTGTGTCTAAAACAAAAACGGAGCTATCTAGCAGAAAAGTTGTCAAGGTGTACATTCAAGTTACAGGGTTAATCTGATGTGTGTATGTAGCAGTTCTAAAACTCTTTCTTTGGAGAATGTATAAACTGATATTACAGCCATATACAGGCATATAAGACTTAGCAGTAAGACTTCGTCTAAAACGCCGGAGAAACGTGTATTTCAAACTCCTCTGCTGTGTCTTTGTTCACATTTAGAAGTTGTATCTATGTTTAGATCCTGTGAGTTAGAAACACGTTTGTTCTAAAAGCTGCATTGAGATATTTCACAGTGAATGGGGATATATGCTGTAATGAGAAACACGTGGCTCTAAAACAAATGAAGAGCCATCTAGCAGAATGCTTGTGAAGGTGTACATTCAACTTACAGTGTTAAGCTGATCTGTGTATGTAGCAGTTCAGAAACCCTTTTTTGGAGAATGTAGAAAAGTATATTATCAGTCATATACAGGCATATGAGAATTAGCAGTAAGACTGCGTCTAAAATACAGGAGAAAAGTATATTTCAAACTGCTCCGCAGGGTGTTGGTTCACCTTAGGAAGTAGCATCTATGACTAGATTCAACAAGTTAGAAACGCTTTTCTTCTACAAGCTGCGATTGGATATTCCAGAGTGAATGGGTGCAGAGTCTTTAAAGAGAAATATCTGACTCTAAAACTAAAACGGAGCTATCTAGCAGAATGGTTGTCAAGGTGTACATTCAACTTACAGAGTTAAACTGATGTGTGTATACAGCAGTTCAGAAACTCCTTTCATGGAGAATCTGCAAATGGATATTTCCAGCCATACACAGGCATATAAGTATTAGCAGTCAGACTGTGTCTAAAACACAGGAGAAAAGTATATTTCAAACTGCTCAGCTGCGTCTTCGTTCAAGTTAGGAAGTTCCCTCTATGTTTACTTGTAGCAAGTTACAAAGTCGTTCCTTCTAAAAGCTGCGTTTCGATATTCCATAGTGAATGGGAGTTCGTGCTCTAACGAGAAATATATGGCTCTAAAAAAACCGGAGTTATCTAGCAGAATGGTTGTCAAGGTGTACATTCAACTTACAGCATTAAAATGATGTGTGTATACAGCATTCAGAAACCCTTTCTATTTAGAATCTAGAAACGGATATTTCCAGCCATATACAGGCATAAGAATTAGCAGTAAGACTGCGCCTAAAACACAGGAGAAATGTATATTTTAAACTGCCCTGCTAAAATATCCACGCCACATATAAGAAACCATCCTGAATCATCAAGGAAAATTACTCAATATGAGGATTCTTTGTAAGAATAAAAATTTCAGAACCACAGAAAAAGTTTATCAAATTTGTATCTTATGAGTCCAAATATCAAAATCATGGATATTTTATGCTCTTCCACTAAACTGAGTCATGTCATGTTCCTCGGTGTAAACTTAAGTAATAATTATTTAAGCAGGAGAGCATGGGGAAGCTGTTAGAACTATCTAGAACAAGAATCCACTCATTTCTACATCAGTTAAAAGTGATGTGATTTTTGTCTGTTTGTTTTAGTCTGGCAAGTAGCTACCATTTGCAAATTGAATAATTTTGCAAGTACCAGATGTTCTTTGTCTAACAGTATAGCACTTGTCAAAATTTTCCCCAGAAAATGTTGATATCACAGAGGACCTTACCTCTATTTCTACTTGTGTCAGTACTGAGAAATTTGGATGTTAACTCTAAATCAACTAATAGCTATTTAAAATATCATTAATTTTTCATTAAAAAAAATTTGCCTCCCTAAACTCATTAAATTACACAGTTGTCCTTTATTAATTTGAATTAACAGGTTTGTTAACTGGTGATCATTTGTTTATATCTTAATATTATTTTATGCTTATCTCTGATAAAGAAATGAATAGAATTTATAATGTAATTTGTATGAGCTCCGTAAGAGAACCAAATTTATAAGCATACAAGAGTATGCATTTACATAAAAACATTTGACATGCTAAACATTTTTGTCTGTTTATTAAATTAAATCCCAATGACTCTGTTTTGTTTACCTAGTTTAACATAGACTTTTTTTTTTTAAAGTAATGAGTTTGGGGCAAGGGAATCTGAAGTAATTTATTTATTTGCTTGTTTTTTAAATTGAGCATCTTTAGAGGCCAGAGAGAGGGCCCTTTGTCTTATCCTCTCACTTATTTTAACCCAACTTAGTATAACTTGTGTCTGTGGTTCTATATTTAAATTTATTCCTTTTGAAAATTTTCTTTTTCCTTTGACCTTTTTATTTGTACATGATATTACAGTTAAATTCTAGGCTTACACCCTAACTATTGTGAACACAAGAGAAAACATTTTCCTTTGCCAAAAATAAATAAATAAATAAATAAAGCTTTTATTACAAGGAGACAGTAAATTTCCTGGTGACCAGTTACCATTTCTGATTGGTGCATTGATGAGTAAAGTATAGAATTCAGAGATTTATGTCAGTCACCTCTTCAGTGATCTGTCTAGAAAGCTGAGAAAAGCTAAATGCTACTGTTAGAGCATTTTCTCTCCCCTGAGGAAGAGTGTATTCTAATTTATATATTGTGCTAAAGTTGCAGTTTTCCAAATATTACCATTAAAATGGGGAAAGACACTCTGATTTTACTTCTTCAAAGACTGCATAGTAAGGTTTTTGGAAAAAATAGTATTGGAAAAACACAGACTGAATTTTTGAAAGGTGGAAATAATATAAGAAAAGTTATGCGCTCAATGTTTCTCCCCCTCTTCCTCTAGATTAGCTCTGCTCTGGTATCATACTGTAGTCCGCCCGTTTTTTGCCTTGGATGGCAGTGATAACAAGGCAGGCCTGGATGAAGCTAAGGAAATTCTCCTTAAAAAAGAAGCTGCTTATCCAAACTCTTCCCTCTTTATGTTTTTCAAGGGACGGATACAACGACTAGAGGTACTGTACCTTCCTCATCTTTTTAAAATAAAGCCTCCAATAATCAAATCTCTGATCCTCACTTGAGGACTGGTATCAAAACGAGCCAGAATGTCACAGGGCCCGGGAGCATTTTGTTCTTTTGCCTTTCCTTGCATCATTGCTAGGGGAGACTCTTCCAGGAGCCCAGGATGTTAGTCAGTTACCTTCTGTTCGAAGATGTGGGCGAAGCAGTGGTAAGATTCCTCATGGCTAATGACACAGGATTGGTGCACTTCCAGCCTAAGGCACGTGAACATTATTTAGTGGCTGAGCTGAAAAACACAAAATATAATTTTTTCCTCTCCGAGTTACTAATGATCTCTTTCTAAACTTTGATCTTGGCTAACAATTGACTTAGAAAAAAGCTACTGCCTTCAATATCAGGGCAACATGAGCTTTGAAATATTAGGAGCTTTTATCACATTTTCATGTGCTTAATTTGGCTCAGTACTGTGTCAAGAGCTTTACACATGCTTTTCCATTTCATCCTCAGAACAACCCTGTGACATAGATACAAAATTGTCATCTGCATGTTACAGAAAAAATAAACAAGGACCCAAGAGGGTTTCAAGTAACTTCCTGTGCTTAACTCCCAGGGTTGTCTCACTACAGAACCAGCAATGCCCTAGCCTTTGGAGGCATCTGCGTCTCCTTTGCATCTCTTTTTATCTGCATGCTTGAGGTTTTGAGGATTTATAGAAAAATGGAAATGTAAGAAATTAATCATACCTATAAAGTAAGATAGCTGTTATAGTAGCTGCTCCATCTACATTCTCACCAATAGTTATCAGCAAATCAGTCTGTGGTTTTAACATTTGTCCTCCAGTTAACCAGGTGCTCTGAGAAATCGGCCCCCATGAGTCCTTTTGAAGATTTTTGCCTAGAAATGCTTTCATGGCACAGGAATGATTTGTTCTTTTTGAGGTGGGGGTGGGGCAGGCAATGGAGTGGATATTACTTTCCCAGTCGTTTTTCTCCTTCATAAAGTGACTCCTTAAATCTGAAGACTTTGCAGAACAATTTTCTTAGCCCTTTATGTATGGAAGATGTGTTTTAGAGATTACAGTAGCAATCGAAAATTGAGATAGAGGCCGGGCGTGGTGGCTCATGCCTGTAATCCCAGCACTTTGGGATGCCAAGACAGGCGGATCACCTGAGGTCAGGAATTCAAGACCATACTGGCCGACGTGGTGAAACCCTGTCTCCACTAAAAATACAATAAACTAGCTTGGCATGGTGGCCTGTGCCTGTAATCCCAGCCACTTGGGAGGCTGGGACATGAGAATCGCCTTAACCCAGGAGGCAGAGGTTGTAGCGAGCCAAGATGGCGCCACTGCACTCCAGCCTAGGTGACAGAGCAAGACTCCATCTCAAAAATAAATAAAATAAAATAAAATTGAGATATAGTACAGAAAGCCCTTCAAGATCTGAATTATTTAAACCCATGTCCAAATTGTTTTTCTTCTCATTATCTTAAAACTCTTTCTCTTTGTGTATAGGCTCGTGAGCCTTTGGTTGTATTTCTCTCTTTTTTCTCTTGCTCTTTTTTTTTTTTCTTTTCCTTTTTGAGACAGGGTCTTGCTGTGTCACCCAGGCTGGAGTGCATGGTACAATCATAGCTCACTGCAGCCTCAACCTTCCAGGCTCAAGTGATCCTCCCACCTCAGCCTCCCAAGTAGGTGGGACTATAGGTATGTGACACCATGCCTGGCTAATTTTTTATTTATTTATTTATTTAGAGATGAGGCCTCCCTATGTTGGCAATCTGGTCTCAAATTCCTGGGCTCCAGCCTCAGCCTCCCAAAGTGCTGAGATTACAGGTGTAAGCCAGTATGCCTGGCCACAGGATGAGTGCTTTCTTAGATTTAGATTTCTTAAAGGGCAGGCATAAGTTCTGAGTAGCTTTGAACACAATGTTACTGGGTTTTGTGTTTAACAGAGATTTACTGGGAGTGAAAGCCTAAAATTTTAAATTGTATGCAACAGGGCAGTGAGGCACCTTAGCTCTGGGCAATTTGTTAGGATTCTCTCCCTTTATTTTGCTGATAAATGAATGCTCTAAATTGGGTTTTGAAGTTGTTAAACAGAAATGTGAAAATCAGAACTTCTATTTTGTTATGCTTGCCATTTGAGTTAAGTTTTCATTTTAAAGCAAAATTGCTTAACTTCTGGTTAAGCTAATAACTTTTTTCCCAAAAAATATTACTTTGACATGGTTTTAGTTTGTGCCATGACTAAATCCTGTAAAGAAATGAGTGAATACTAAAAATAAGCAGTCATTACTTATTGTCAGGATGGTTCTAGAAATAAGGAAGCCACAGTTTTATCAAAAGATTCCTGTAAATATGGTTTTGGGAGGTACATAGTCCACATTATAGCTCTTAGTAGATATATAGTCTATTTGGGGGTAATTATAATCAGGGGTAGAAAATTATAATCAGGGGTAGATGCTAGAACTCCTTCGCAGTTAAGGGGTCAGCTTATTTAGTTTTAAGAAAAAGCACACAAGATCTGTTACTCCTGTTATTTAGTAAGCTGTAGCTTTAGGGCCAGACAAAATATGATGAGTGTTTCTGTGCAGCTCTTCCCAAAGGCGCAGAGGATGAAAAGATTTTAAGACTAACTTGAAATATGGTTGTTATGATCCTCAAGGTGCCCAGACAGCAGTGTTGCATTGATCTTCCCGGGTATGTGTAGGAAGGTATCAGAAATGAAGGTGTCATCCTTCATTTGCAGATGAGGAAGGCTGTGATAAAGCTCTTGCCAAAGGCTTTTCATGAGACTTCGAAGGCCTTGACTCAGTTTATGAAACATACATGACTCCTTCCAATTAATTTGCTTACAAGGAATTTTTTTTTTTCTTTTCAGTGAGCATTTAGGCTAGAGATAGGGCCTCTTGAGCTCTTTTTATCAGCATGTATTCACAGAACATGGTCTAGGGGCTCTAATTTAGGCAGACACATCATATGACACCATCTTTGTTTCCTCAGTGACTCAGAATCTGTGAAATTATTTGAACAGCTGCTTTTGTGTAAGCTTGCTAACAAGCAGGGTAACTAGCTCAGTTTGCGCCCGTCAGTGTTCATTCTTCTGTACTCATTATTTTCAAACCCTGTTCAGTGCCCACTTTTTCTTTTAGCGTTAACTTTTTATGTACTTTACCCTTTGTTGTTTGGGACTCTGTAGAGTGAACATAGGAGGGTTTCTTCCACAGATCTGCTCCTGTGCCGCCGCTTGTATAAACCTCGTGGTGGTGACTTCACTGTTTTCTGTTGTAGCCTCAGTTGATGTTGCAGTGAAGTGCTACCCCATGGTGGTGAGGTCCATTTGCACAGGATCCTCTTCACCAAACTGCAGAAAGAATTCCCTTGCCTCGCTGCCTCTGCTTCTCCCCGTTGTGTGTCTAAAGCATCCCACCTTGAACCTTCTCTGCCCACTCGTGTTGTCCTTACTACTGATCCTGTCTTCCTTGACCCCTCCCATGTGACTTACTACATTGCTGGGGGGAATGAATGTGCAATTACAGTACCTAGCATGTGGCAAACGCTGTCAAAATAATAGTGTGATCGTGGTTATTATTCCTACTGAGTGCTTAAGCCTGAGAAGTCATGTATCAAATTTTCATTTTCATTTTCATTTTTTTCTTTCTTTTGGAAAAAAATAATTTGTTTTGTGTTGAGAGCTGTCAATAAACAAGGCCTGTGATTGGCAAAATTGGGCATGGGTGTAGCTATAAAAGATGTAAGTACTATACAGCTATTTACTTTTCCCTGAATTTCCACAATGCAAACAATGTTTAGGAGGCTAACCAATGAATTATATGGGAATCTCAATTTTCTTTTTTTTTTGAGATGGAATCTTGCTCTGTTGCCCAGGTTGGAGTGCAATGGTGTGATCCCTGCTCACTGCAACCTCCGCCTCCCAGGTTCAAGCAATTGTCCTGCCTCAGCCTCCCAAGTAGCTGGGATCACAGGCCCCCACCACCACACCTGGCTAATTTTTTTATTTTTAGTAGAGGTGGGGTTTCGCCATGTTGGCCAGGCTGGTCTCGAACTCCTGACCTCAGATGATCCACCCACCTTGGCCTCCCAAAGTGCTGGGATTATAGGTGTGAGCTACTGCACCCAGCCTGGGAATCTCAATTTTTATTGGTAGTTATAATTCTGAATTTCTGTATTCTTTTCTTCCTCCATCCTATGTGGTTCTGTTAATGTTCAGGCACAACAATGTTCTTTTAATGTTCACTTAATTTTCATCCAGTTAAACCCATGGTAGTGTTATGTCCCTTAAGATACAAGCAATTAATGAGTATTTTTTTTTATTATTTTGACAGTATTAGGGACAACTCTATATTTTCATAAACTGTTTTCAGTTCTCTCTGTTCTTTTTTCTTTAAGCAATACAGATTTACACAACTTTTTTCCTTTTCAGCTTTACCAATCTACTTTGTATGTGACACGTAAAAATCTGGTTTTCTGTAAATAGATACTTTCACACACACACCTTATGTGGTGTAACTATTTAGTAATGTAACTAATTTTTAATATTATGTACCTCTAAATAAGTGTTCAGATATTCAAATGAATGAAAGTAGTTTTCTGTAAACTCACTGCAACCTTTGCCTCCCGGGTTCAAGAGATTCTCCTCTCACAACCTTCTGAGTAACTGGGATTACAGGCATGCACAACCATGCCTGGGTAATTTTAGTATTATTAGTAGAGACGGGGTTTCACCATGGTGGCTAGGCTGGTCTCGAACTCCTTACCTTTATTTTGAAACTGTCTCCTGAGCTTGAGCCCATACGTTGTGAATATCCTGCATGCTGACATTTTAAAACCTTGGGTTTGTTTTTTGGAAACCAAAATCTGGGCCTAGCACAGGACTGCCCTTCAATGTATGTTTGTTGAATGAATAGATGAGGCTACTGGTAGAAAATCTATTGCTCTATGTCATTTCTTTGTTAAGAAATGAAGTTGGTT